AAATAAACAAATTAATTTACCCACAAACACACACACACACAAAAAGAAAAAAAACCGGGGGGGGTGGGGTGGGGAAGAAGATATAACAACTATACTTTTTTTGAAGTTGTTACAACAAGCAAACGGAAAGGACATTCTTGGGGGGGAGGGGAGAGAGGGAGGAGGGCGGGAGGTGTCGGTGATGGGCCATAATAATCATATACACTGTATATTGACAAAATAAAAATAAAAAAATAAAAAAATAAATAAATAAATTAGACATTAAAAAAAAAAAAAAAGACGGACTTTTCTTAGGCATTTACATTCGAGTCTGGAGGTGTTTGCTGCATGAGTATTTGCTTCTCCAGTGCTTCTGTGCAGCTGATGCCTGGCTTCTATTCGGTGGGCAGGAATTAAGTGTGCCAGCCAACATGAGAGGGAAGGGGCATTTCTCACATTTTTTTTTTTTTAAAGATGACCGGTAAGGGGATCTTAACCCTTGACTTGGTGTTGTCAGCACCAGGCTCTCCAAGTGAGCCAACCAGCCATCCCTATAAGGGATCTGAACCTGTGGCCTTGGTGTTATCAGCACCACACTCTCCCAAGTGAGCCACGGGCCGGCCCTGGCATTTCACACATTAATGATGGGAGTCTACCCTGTTAAACACCTTTTGGATGACAATTTGATAATATTTATTTAACCTCTAAAAGGTCTCATTCTTGGACCACTGTTTTTACTTCAAAGAATTTATCCTGTAGAAACGGTAAATGTGCAAAGAAACATGTAAAAGAACTTATTCAATGCTCCTTGCTTTCCCAGGATCCAAACTCCCTTCCTATTTTGGAGACTCCCTCATTACTTAAGTTTTGGTGCGGTCAGGGCCGGGTCTCCCACTGCAGAAGCTGAAGGGAGCCAGACGCTCCCCCTTCTCCCTGGCAATGAAGGTGTTGGCATGGAACTTACACTGGGGCCAGCTGAAAATTCCCACCTTAAATCCTGAGTCCTTAGAAAGGGTCCAGGGAAGACATCCTAGCTGGCTGCTCTTGGGACACACCCCCGGCCATGCTCCCTGTGGTCTGCCTTCCCTTCGCTTCTACACTTCTAAAACCAACTCTTCAGTGTCCCTGTCAATGTTATCAAGTACCTAATGTTCTTTGCTGTTTAAGTGACCCAGAGTTAGCTTCAATGGCTTACACCTAGATTGCCAACTGAGACACCTCACAATGTCCTTCAGTCAAGGGTAGGCTAGACATATTATGGTGCACCCTGACTGCAGGACCCCTTGGAAGTCCATCTCCACGTGCTACAAGTAAAGGTGATACATCATTAAATTAAAAAAACAAGCAGGATGGGCCGACCCCGTGGCGCACTCGGGAGAGTGCGGCGCTGGGAGCGCAGCGATGCTCCCACCGCAGGTTCGGATCCTATATAGGAGTGGCCAATGCGCTCACTGGCTGAGCGTGGTGCGGACTACACCAAGCCAGGGGTTGTGATCCCCTTACTGGTCACGAAAAAGTCAAAAAATAAATAAATAAATAAAAATAAATAAATAAATAAAAAGCAAGCAGGAGATTAGAACACGTAGAACGATTCCATTACAACAGAGGAATAATACATGTTAGTATATAACAGAAAAACAAAGCTTGGAGCATAATACACCAAATTGTTGACAGTGATTATCTCAGAGACAGAGAACGATGGAGAACTCTTACTCTCTATGTTACATAATTGTGTTGTATCTGAGCTTGTTTAATTTTGCAATAGGTTTGTAACTAAAAAAAAAACCTGATAACGCTATTTTTTTAGAAAAGTAGATAATGGTTGCATTGTGTTCCTGAAGATATCAAATAACTTAAAAATTAACACAATCCAAGACTAACACTGACAAAGAACGGCACCTATTTCTGTTTATCGGATAAAGTGGCATCACTGCAAGCCAGCACATAACACACAAATGCAGTTTACGATCGATTTGGCCCTCTAGCTCTAACATTATAGATTCTCTACAGAAAGATTTATTAGTTGATATATCACACTGTTTCAAATGTATATAATTCAAATAGGTATAAATAAGCCCACCTGTCCCGGCTATCTAAGCCACAGACACGGCATTCCTCTGCCTGGGCTGTGCATTCACACCTGCACTACCTTGCCATGACATGTTCATGCAGCAAGACTAATGAGAAGAAAACTAGGAATCGAGAGCTGGCTCTTTCTGATGACAATGGGAAGCCAAGATCATTTGCTTCGGTTCTTCTGTATCTTCACTGCCTGGGAAGAGAACACATGAGCCCAGGAGGACGTGCGGAGGGTCTGCTGTGTTAACAAGGTCTTACCAACCCTCAACATGCTGCTTTACCTTGAGATCTTCTATTAGTGGGGAAGGGCTCCACCTGTCCCCTGAGGCCTGGTGCCTCTGCAGCTCTTGTTCCACGGGGTACACACGCTGCTCCATAAACCGCCTCAGCCGGTGATATAGTTCTCTGGCAGGTGGGGAAAGGCCCTCTGGAGAAATGACCAGAGCTCCCTTTGAGGCCTGAGCTGGGAAACCTTCTGGAATGGAGCTGTAACTCCTCGTACCTGTGGGGCTCAGCAGGGACTGTGGACTGGCCCATGTGTGGTAGGACCTTGTTAACAGTTTTGGGGCTGGCATCTTTTTGAAAACCCGGAACCCTTCTTTGACTGCAAAATCCCATGCCAGGTTGGACATTAATTCAGTCAGATTTCCACTTTGTTCTGCAGTTGCAGAGCTTGCTTGCCCTAAGCAGAATCAAAGGAAAATAGTGATTACTCCCAAACAACCCTTCACAATAATGTTAACATATGATATTATTATTATATCAGCAGCTACTACCATTTGCTGAGCACTTGCTACCTTCTGGACACTGTGCTAAGAGCTATTATTACAGCTCATTGAATTCCCAAAGCAATATAACTGTTTAAATCTGCACTTTGCAGACAAGGAAACTGAGTCCTAGAAAGGGAGGTGACTTGCTCGAGTTGTCAGGTAGTGGGCCGGGAACCAGTAGTCAAGCTCAGGCCTGTCTGCTCCCTGCTCTTTAGCTTTTCTTTTCCTAAAGAAACTAAATTAAATCAGGAACACCCCAAATGACTTCTCCTGTCACTAGTGGGCTATAAGAAGTCCTGCATTACACAAGCCCTGCTCTGAAACTGGTAATAGCAGTGTCACAACTGATTGAATGAATGGCCAGTTTCTAGGCACCATTTTGTCTGGACCAACAATCAACACCTGCATTGCAGAGCTCACTCTAGTTTTACACTCACTGTCTATCTTTAATTTTTTAATATGTGCATCAAGACTTTTTTTAAAAAAGGATTTTTTCCCAAATTTAAAAAAAAATTAAGGTATAGTGTACCACCTCCTTGGTGTACAACTCTGCAAGTTAACAAACCCATAGTTGGGTAACCACCTTTGCCATAAAGCTACAGAATATTTCCAGTATCTCTAAACTTCCCTCGTATTGCTCTGTACTCAGCCCAGCCACCGGCACCCACTGATCTCTGTTGCTACAGTTTGTCTTTTCTAGGATGTCACATAAATACATATATCATACAGCATGTGGTCTTTTCAGCATGGCTCTTTCTCCCAGAGTACTGCATTTGAGGTCTACCCACACTGTTGTGTGTATGTTGTCTATTTATTTATTTATTTTCAAGTTTTGGTGGCTGGCTGGTAAGGGGATCTGAAGCCCTGACCGTGGTGTTATCAGCACCATGCTCTAACCAAGTGAACTAACCAGCCAGCCCAAGAGCCATTTTCATTCAGCTTTGGTGTTAAAGGTAGTTTACACTATTCCTTACTGCATCAGGAACCAAATTCTTTACTACCCAGCACAGAACCTATTGAGGTCCAGTGGGCTGTGCACCTTCTGGGTGTTGGGTATGGATGTAGGCTCTGAGGGATCAGTTGGGAACCAGACAGCCCCTTCCCTGTGTTGTGGACACACAGTGAGGGCTGATGGGTACAAATGCGCTGCAAATCCCCTCATTACTCAGACTGCATATGCCACATCATAAGGAAAGATACTCTCCCTAAATTCATTGTTATTCATAACGATTTTCTTTTCCTAACAGAATATGAAGTGAATTCTTAATTGTCTTGTTTAGTTGGATCTCGCTCTCAGAGTGCTGCTTTGTCCCTGATAAAGTCACTTGGATGAGATTGGGTTCATTTAAAGCTATCACTTCCAGTATATTTTCCCAAATGTAGTCTCAGCAGAAGAGACCACATCACTGGCATTCACCTAAGATCCAGTTATAATCACTTTTTCCTTTCTAGAATTTCAACAGCCATCTATAAGAACGCAAAACTTCCGTACCCACTCCTTAAGGGAGGAAAGTGACACACGGGATGGGCTGGTACAGACTATCAATCTCTGGTCACTCTCCTCCTCCCAATTTAATGATGATCTGAAGTCTCCTATGAATGACACCACAGAGAAAACACCTTTAAGACAAATACTCCTTCTCTAAACCCCATGTTTCCAGGTGAGTACCAAATATCTCACCTGTTCAAACCAAAAAATATATAATTTTAACAGCTAATTGTAGAGGACAAATGTAGAAAAATAATATTTGTTCTCATATACTTGGATTTTCTGCCCCCCCCATCTGAATGTTTTTATACTACTCATATTCTTTCACTAAGCCACTTCCTCAGTATGTCTGGCTGGCCTCCTGGGTGGGAGTGCACAATTCGGATCAGAGGAATAAAGGCCTGAATGGAAAGCATGTCTGTTTTTCTCTGTGGTGGCAAACACATGGGGTGTTTTACCTCCAAGCCAAGAAAAGCCGGAAGTCAAGCCAAGGCTCACAGGATCTTAGAAACATGTCAAAGGGCTTCCTGATAGGCACGTTGAGGACAATCCAGTAGGGAGATTCTAAAATGGGTAATTCTTAATGGGCAAAACTATTTTGTTATCCCCAGAGCACTACAGCAGAGCACAGAGGGAACTCGTGCTCTAGGAAACTCGTGTTCCAGCCTGCTAGGAAATGTTGACAGTCCATCAGGCTTGTTCATCACCTAAGGACTTAGGAGCCATTCTGTTTAATTAAATGTTTCTGGTTAGCTTTTATCGCAAAGACATAATAAAAATGGAAAATGGTGGCTTACAGATGATGCTTTCCAAAGGACGGAAAAATTTCCAGGAATTCCTGCTTATTGAGACCCCTACTTCTCAGATCAGGTAGGGTTAAACTAGAAATTCTGCAGACACTAATTTTTCTCTGGACACTGTTTAGCTCATGACTTTGTATCTCTAGTCCACCTGGCACAGTGCTGGCACTTAGTAGAGGCTCAGATACTTGTGAATGAACAATCAATTCTCCTGCAGCTGCTTCTCTCAGAAGAATTTGGCAACCTGACTGAGAGCACATGCTGACAGCAAGTCGCTGACGGTGAAGCCAAGAACGCCCCACAGTACTAGCAAAGCTGCTGCTCTGTTACTTTCTTCCTACCTTTTGTTTTTAACTTTTAATTTTGGAGAACTCCAAAGATACACAAGAGTAGAGAGGTGAGTATAATGAACCTGCAGTTGTCTGACACTGTCAGCAGTTATCAATGCCTGGCTAATCCTACTTCATCCCCACTCCCGCTGCCCTGGATTTCTCTGAAGTAAATCCTAAACATCAGATCATTTCATCTATGAATATTTCTTTTATCTCTAAAGACAAAGACTTTAAAAAATCCACAATACCATTATCTCACTGAAAAATAGTTAACTATAACTCCTTAACATGATCGGCTATCCAGTCCGAATTCAGTTTTCAGTATATTATAAAAATATTTTAAAATATAATGTTGTTGGGCCGAGCCCGTGGCGCACTCGGGAGAGTGCGGCGCTGGGAGAGCAGCAACACTCCCGCCGTGGGTTTGGATCCTATATAGGGATGACCAGTGTGCTCACAGCGCTCACTGGCTGAGCGCGGTGCGGCCAATCTCCGAAAGGACAAAAAAATATATATATATATATAATGTTGTTAAAATAATTTGTTATTTGTTATAAAAATAACAACATTTTTATAATTTGTTGTAAAAATAATTTGTTATTTGGACCTTACCCAAATAATGTCCAAACACTGTAACTGGCTGATATGTTGAAGTCTTTCTTAATCTACAGGCTCCTTTTTCCCTCCTTTTTCCCCCTTAAAATGTATTTACTGAAGAAACTGAGTGTCTGGAAAACAGTAAAGTTTTCCAGAATCTGAATTTTGTGAGTGGCTGTGCCTAGTGGTGCTTTGAAAGTGTTTCCTGTGAATTGCTATAGTTAGCACTAGAGGATTCGGCAGGTGCTGAGAAGGAAGGAAAATAATTTTAGATTCTTCTATATGACCAAATTTTTATCATGTGCATGTATGCTTTTACTGAAAAAAAAAAATTTGTGCATTATTTTAATCATTAAAAAACAAGTTTAGGGCCGAGCCCATGGCGCACTCAGGAGAGTGCAGCACTGGGAGCGCAGCAGTGCTCCCACCGTGGGTTCGGATCCTATATAGGGATGACCGGTGCGCTCACAGCACTCACTGTCTGAGTGCAGTGCAGCTGGTCTCAAAAAGGACAAAAAAAAAAAGTTTAAATATTTTAAACAATATATATATGACAAATGCTTGAATTAACTGAATCTTATAGAATTCTGGCCAAATCAGTCCCTCCAAAGCCTCGGAGGCATGCCAGGGCTTCCAGGTGGAGGAGCCATCTTGACTGTGTGTGACTCATGCAGTCAGGTGGCCATCCCATTACCTGTGAGTGATCGTTTGTAGACTCCCTGTAGGATTGCAGCCATGCGGAAAAAGGAGAAAGCCATATAGAAGTTCCAGTTCTCAATGGGAGGGATGCCCATATGAAGACAGTACATCCTGAAATACTCCTCTGCAGTCGGGATTCCCAGATGAGTCAAATCGCAATCACCAAAACCTGAGGGGAAAGACAGAGCCATTCCTCGGCAGTCAACAACTACCTCCCCTGTGGCTGGCAAGTATTTTAAATGTGAAAATCACTATGTCTCTTGGAAACTAGTTTCACAACTAGTTCAAGGGTTACTCATTATTTCAATGGCTTTTTCTCCCTCAGATGGCTGGGGATCCAGGCTTGAAACTATTATTCACAAATTGGCTCTTAAATGTTTCAGACTAAATTGGCAGTAAAGGAAGGAATGAGGCCTCCAATTCCATCTGGACCACAGTTCAGGGTGGATATGTATTATCTTCGACCAGTCGTTTGATAAAAAAACAGCATTGAAAGAGAGATCCCACCAAATTATAAAAAACATAATTACAACAAATAAAAAATTTCACTGATTTGCTTCATTTGTGACATTTGCACAATTTGGAAGCACATAATATATTCCATTCCTAAGAATTGATCCTAGGAGTATACCTTATTATTGAAAGTCAAAGATATGACTACAAAGATGTCCACTGTAGGGGCCGGCCCGTGGCTCACTCAGGAGAGTGTGGTGCTGATAACACCAAGGCCACGGGTTCGGATCCCATATAGGGATGGCCGGTTAGCTCACTGGGTGAGCGTGGTGCTGACAACACCAAGTCAAGGGTTAAGATCCCCTTACTGGTCATCTTTTAAAAAAAAAAAAAAAAAAAAAAGATGTCCACTGCCTTGCCTTTTTTTGTGGGGGTGAAAGAGGAGGTGTATAAAAAAATCAGAAACAAGTTAAATATCCAAATAGGAATTAAACCAAATGTCCTAAATTAATTCTGTACAATAAAATCCTATGCTGTCATTAAAAATTATGCTTAGGGCTGGCAGGTTTGCTCAGTTGATTAGAGCATGGTGCTGATAACACCAGGGTCCAGGGTTCAATCTCTATATTGCACAGCCACAAAAATAATAATTATAAATAATAAAAATTACGCTGTAGAACAAATAATGGCATGAAAACACCTCCAAAGTATACAATTTCATGGGGGAAAAAAAGCAGATCATAAAATCATAAAATCACATTTTTGTTTAAAAAAGTGAACATATATGAGGGTACTTCAAAAAGTTCATGGAAAGATTTGTATTCTCTTTTCCTTCTACTTTTCCACGAACTTTTTGAGGTACCGTTATAACACACAGAAGAAAAGATGACAAGGACAGATACCAGAATGTCAGCAAGAGACTACTAATGATAACGTTTTTGGTTTGTTTTTGTTTTTTTGCTATCTGTTGGCTCTAATGTTTTTACCATAAACTTGTATGCTTTTTTTTTTGGTAGCTGGCTGGTAAAGGATCTGAACCCTTGACCTAACCTGAGCTAACTGGCCAGCCTTAAACTTGTATTTTCAATTTTAAAAATTGAAATACGTAGACGTTACCTGTATGAAAGCATAAGAGGTGCCCATACAGACTTGCTCTTCACTTAACATACACCCATTTTCCCCCAAATGTGATAGGAATGCATTCCAGTTACATCTTCTACCCAGATCACCAGGACCTCACTTTCACACCCCAGCCCAATCACAAGCTACTTCAGATAAGTTTGCTCCTAAACACTCTGAGAATGAGCTGGTTTGATCCTCTCTGCCCCCAGCAACAGCTCCTACCTCTCAGCATGGGAAAACTGGATGGCAGGTAGTGAAAGAGGCAGCTGTAGGCCACATCAGCCAGGGGGTCACCCAAGGTAGAAAGTTCCCAGTCAAGGACAGCAAGTACCTCAGTCTTTTCTGGATGAAACAGCAGGTTGTCCAGCCTGAAAAGCCAAAGGGAATGGAGAGACAGCGCTAAGAAAACCAACTGCTCGGCTGTATTCTGTGCCCGGTGTGGCCCCTTTTTCCCTCTAGGCTTGATCCCACCCTAACCACCCTCTCTGTGCCTGGGAGCCTGAGCTGCGCTGTGTCCTCCGAGGGCCCATGCCCTCTGGCTTCCAGATGGATGAAGCCAACCAGAGCTACTTATTCCCCCAGCTCCCTCTGTGCAGATAGCTGAGGGGTGGCTGGATCCCTTTACTGAGGGCCACAGTTTTGGCCAGGCAGCCTCCCCACATCACTACCCTCTCTGGGTTCTGGTAATTACTCCCTCCCTATGATGGTTTTAAAACAGGTCTGTACATTCTTTGTCACTCCTCCCATAAAAGGTAGAGAGTAATTCTTCACCCTTTGAAGCACTTCGCTTCTAACAAATATAATGCAGATGGAAGTGATGCTGAGGGACTCCTGAGACTAGACTAGGTCCGATAAGGTGACACAGCTTCAGCTGGCCCTCCTTCTCTTGGAACTAACATCTTTGGAGCCCTGATCATCCAGATAAGTACAGCTACGCAGAAGCCACCATGCTGAAGACACCATTTGGGAAACCACAAAGAGACAGACAGGGAGACTTGAAGAGCCCAGCTGTTCGTGTCTGCTCTGCCCCAGGGCCAGCATGCAAGCCAGCCTTCCAATGATTCCAGCCCCAGCCTGAGAGCCACTTCAATTGAAATAGCTTTCCTGTCCCCAGACTGCAGATTTGAGAACAAAACAATCCCTGTCTTTGTTTACAGCAACTCAGTTTTGGAGCAGTCTGTTATAAAGTAGTAATAGCCAGAGCACACACTTCCCTCTTCAGATCTAGGGGTGGTAATAACTCTCCACTGTTGCTAACCCCAGGATTCCAGGATGTTCTTCAGTGGTTCCTCTAAACCATGCTACACTCCTGTGTTAAACTCTCCTCAAATGGCCTCTGAGTCATTCTGTTTCCTGCCAGGGCTCTAAGGCATGCTTTATTTAAAAGAAAAAGTAATTACCAAACTTGCAGAAAAATACAGAGAATGATATAACAGAAACCCATGTGCCCATCTTTCAGACTTAAGAGATGTTATAGCTGCTGCTTTGTTATGATTGCTTTGGATCTTTAAAAAATAAAACATTATAGATTTAACTAATGGCCTCCATCTTCCTTCCCTTTCCTCTCTCTCCTTCCACAAAGATAACTATCCTGAAGCTGGTATGTATCAGTCTTGGTCATTTTTATATGACTCTACCTACGCATGTACCTATAAACCATATATAGTGTTCTTTCAATTATTTTTAATTTTATATAAATGATATTATACTGTATATATTCTTTTGGAACTTACTTTTTTCCTACTCAGCATTATCTTTTTGAGATTTATTTATGATGATTTATGTACAGCAAATTTGTTTATTTTATCTGCTCAACAGAATTCCAATGGATGACCAAACCACAATTTATCATGTATGACAATTACAAGAATGACCCCAAAATGAACAACTTTGCACAAGTTTCCTGGTGTGCAGGTGCAAATGCTTCTCTAGAAGAGGAATTATGAGTTGTAGTTTGTTCCCATGTTCTACGTTACTGTTACTTTTCAAAGTGGTTGTCCCAGTTTACACTCCCACCATCACTAATTCATTCTATGAGCAAGAAGTGTTCTTCCATCTACTAACAGTTGAAAATAGCTTTGATTGTAATTGTTGATCAATAAGCAGCAGCATGCTCTCTACAATGAGAGGATGCTTTTTCTGAAAGCATCATCATAAATGATCATCATACCTCATTATAGCTAAGGGAGGAGGTGCTCAGGCCACCGCTGGACATCTCATTCCTTAACCACAATTGTGGACATTTGAAGTGCAAAGAAAGGCAAAGATAAGTTCCACAGAGCAGCTGTTATGGGCTGGTGACACAAAAGCCACCTGCAAGTCTTCCCCACCAAAGGAAATAGGCTGCAATGATTGGCAAGGAGGGCACTTTCAGGTGAGGTCCTCCAGAGTCCCAACTGGAGAAGATGGAAGAGACTCAGCTGCAGCCTAGCTGTGTGCCAAGCTCAAGCAGTGTGGGAAAATCACGTGGTCCAGTCAGAGACTGACACAAGAGCAGATAGATCTTTCTCCTGTGGACGACCACATGATACAGAGAAAAGTCCAGTCTTTCAATCTCAAACTCAGGAGGTCACTAAAGGTGAATAATGAGCTGGGAGTGAGAGAAACTGGTCAAACCAGTGAAGAAATATCTTTGAAATTAGCCTTTACTGTCTAGCCTTGTTTAACAAAAGGTGCAGCTCCCCAGGATAGACAAGAAAACAACCAAGTACGTCAGGGCCCAAATAAGGTATGCATGTATCAAAAGCAGGCCTCCAGGTACTTCTGGGAAAAAGAACACACTACAAAAGCTACCCAAGTGCCTAACAGGCAGTTTTAACAGCAAGAGATGATAAGATAAAGCCAAACTCTCAAGCCTAAAGCAAGGCACACTGAAATTCCAGTTTTAGCCATGCTATAGACTTACCATGTACCTCCAGAAAACCATGTCCACTCTCTTTCATTCCTCTCATTCCAAACCCAATGAAAATGTCCATCACCTGACCTCATGGGTGGTAAGAGGCACCCTCACTCATCCTAACCTTCAGACAGTGACTCTCAACTGAGAATGATGCTGCCCTTCCAGGGGATACAGGACAATGTCTACAGACATTTCAGACATTTTTGGCTGTCACAACAAGAGGGGTGGTACTACTGGCATCTAGTGGGTAGATGCCAGGGATGATGTCTGACATCCTACAATGTGCAGCAGACCCCCCATAATAAAGAATTCTCTGGCCCAAAATGTCATAGTGCCAAGGCTGAGAAACCCTGCCTTAAAAGGCCACACACAGGAGATACTTTGTGGTGGGAAGAATACACAACTGTATGTTGGGCCAAGACCAACTGTTTGATTTCCCCCTTTGAATGCCTTTCCCTCATTTTTCATATTTAAATATTCAGCTCTACTTGCAGCTGGGTCTACCTGAAGTCCCCATGCACCACCGTGGTCCTCTGTTGACTGGGAAGATGGAGCGGCAGCCATTCGATGAGCCTCTCCATTGCTGGGATGATGCTGGTCTCTGAGGCTCGATACTGCTTAGTCCAGGTCTGTACCTGGCGTGGAATGTAGTCCCCTGAGGGAAAGAGGATTACCACCGTGGTCCTCTGTTGACTGGGAAGATGGAGCGGCAGCCATTCGATGAGCCTCTCCATCGCTGGGATGATGCTGGTCTCTGAGGCTCGATACTGCTTAGTCCAGGTCTGTACCTGGCGTGGAATGTAGTCCCCTGAGGGAAAGAGGATCAGGACAAAGAGTGCCAATTCAACAACCTCCAAAGGTTTTGAAAATTAACCAGTGCGGTGAAACCCTTTGAAATGCTCTGCAGTGATGCCACATCTTTGAACATGTTCCTAGGACTGGGAAATTCCCACATGATGCTCCTGCCACCCCAAGATGGAAGCCACTGGCTATTCTGCCTTGGCCAGATCAGTGTGATCTGGGCACTGTTCCCAGCCATACATACTCCAAAACTGATCAATCTGTGGCCCTTGCACAGATCTCGTGAGATTCCCAATAACCTTTAATAAATCCCTGTTTGGCTAAACAACAATGGCTGACTAAAAGCATGAACTCTGGAGCCAGACTTCCAGCATTTAAATTCCAGCTCTGCCATTTTCTAGCTGTGTGATTTCAGATGGGCTACTTAACCTCTCTGTGCCTTCATTTCCTCATCTTGAAATGCTCCTTATAGAGATGTTGGGAGGATAAAATATGTAAAGCCCTTGGAACTGTCCCTGGCATGTAGTAAGTACTACCTAAGTGTTTGCTATTATTATTCAGTTGCTTGCTAAGAAACCAAGAGATGCCATAGTCGAGAGACTCGCAAGTTCCATCTGGGAACATAAACTGGAAGAAATTCTAGAGTCAGCTGGGCTCACAGTCAAGCTCTTCAATTGATGTAAGCTCTCCAAGTCTCCAGTGCTTCATCGGTATAATGAAAGTATTGATACCTATATTCTGCAGGGTTGTTGTGAAGACTAAATGGAATCCATATACAATGTGTCAAGTACAGTGCTGGCATAGAAGGCTGCTCAATGAGTGGTGGCCATTATTATCATCACCCTTATCTGTTGTCAACTGACAATTTTTAGTTGCCACAATTATTGATGTAATTAATAAACATGTCAGGTCCCTGGCTCTAAGCCAAGCCCTCATCCCTCATCTGAAAAGAAAAACGGACCCCTGGGGATAAAGGAAGACAGGAATAGAGAGATCAAGCTCCTTCTGTGGAATCCACTGCATTCTCAGAGAATGCAGACACTTGCCCTTCAGAGGATCCATCTGGACTGTGAGATGTGGAGATCAAAATCCATAGAAATTTAACTTGAAACAAATCAAGCCTTTAAAACCAACTTCCAGCTTTCAAGAATTACAAGAGAAGACAGCAGTAAAGGAAACTACCCAGCCAGCCCCTACAAGTTTACATGTGTTCTTTTGAATAGCTAACACATTCACATGGCTCAAAATTAGAAAGTGACAAAAGGGAATGCAGCGAAGTCTTTCTCCCACTGCTCTGCCCAGCCACTCAGCTCTTTTCCCCAAAGGCAGCCCATGTGGCCAGTTCTTAGGTAGCCTTTGGAGATAGTTTATGTTTACGCAAGCAAACATTTGAATTTATTTCAATATTTAAACCTATTTACATGTTCCCCTTTTACACAAACAGTGGCATCTATGTAACTCTTCTGTGTATAGACAATGCCCTGCCCAGCAACTGTGGTTCTGACACAACCTGATAAATTGCAGGTTTCTTGAATGTGTAGCTGGACCTGTGAACCCGAAATACAATGAAGATGCTTTATGTTGTCATGCTCATGGGCTGGCCTGGTGGCGTACTCGGTTGAGTGTGGTGCTTGGGAGTGTGGCGGCGCTCCCGCCGAGGGTTCAGATCCCATATAGAGACCGGTCCGCTCACTGGCTGAGCGCGGTGCGGGTGCGACACCGAGGGTTGCAATCCCGTTGCCGGTCGTGGTACGGGCGTGACACCGAGGGTTGTGATCCCGTTACTGGTCACGAAAAAAGAAAAAAAAAAAAAAAAACACAACCAGGGGCCCAGAAGGCTGGCCCTGGGTCACATGAAATCAGATCAGGGGGCCGGCCCGGTGGCGCACTGCTACAGTGCGCCACTTGGGAACGCGGTGGCGCTCCCGCCGAGGGTTCGGATCCCACATACAGACCGGTTCCCGCTCACTGGCTGAGCGAGGTGCAGGAGCAACACCGAGGGTTGCGATCCCGTTGCCGGTCCCAGTCCGGTACGGGCGCGACACTGAGGGTTGCGGTCCGTTGCCGGACACGAAAAAAAAAAAAAAGAAATCAGATCAGATTTCTTCTTTGTCTCTTTGTGCTAACGGGTCAGTGGAAGGAGCATCAAAATAGTCCACTTTAAAAATAAAGGCAGGCTAAGGACAGGACAGCATGTGGAGAGGCTTCCATAAGGGGTTCTTTCTCCACAGCGGGACGCCACACTGCCTGCTACACCTGCAGCCTTCCTCCTCACTCAAAGCACTGCATCAGCTGCCGCCACATCTGCTTTTCATCTCACCCTGGGAGGCAGGCAGGGCGGGGTTTTATAACACAACATGTACTGTTGAGAAAACTCTGACAAAGTAACATGGGTCACCCAGGGTTAGCTGACAAATGAGCATCTGACTTCTGGTCCACTGCTCTTTCCACTTTAAAACAATGCAACAATATATGGGACATCTGTAGTCCTGGCCTGTCTAGCTTCTGTTGTCCCTTTTACTGGTGATTATGGCTGTCAGATAAAGTACAGGATGCCCAATTAAATTTGAATTTCAGGGCCGAGCCCATGGCACACTCGGGAGAGTGCGGCGCTGGGAGTGCAGCAGCGCTCCCGCCGCAGGTTCAGATCCTATATAGGAATGGCCGGTGCGCTCACAGTGCTCACTGGCTGAGCGCGGTGTGGCTGGTCTCAAAAAAAAAAAAAAAAAAAATTTGAATTTCAGATAAACAACAAATACATTTGTAGTATAAGTATTTCCCAATGGGACCACCAAGGTGGAGGGGAACCCCCACTCAGTTGGTATCTCTGGCCAACAGGTTACAGTTGGGGGGGTGGATGTGGTTGTACTAGGAAGGGGTGCAGGCAGTGAGGACCCCCTCAATTTGGGCTGAAATATTGGCAAATCTGCTAAGTTGTGTGTGGCAGTAAAGTGCCTGAAATTGTTGGTTTTGGGTCTTCAATAATATGTCCAAAAAAAAGTATTCATCGTCTATTGGAAATTCAAATTATTTTTTCCTTTTTGTCTTTTTACTGACCGGTAACAGGATCGCAATCCTCAGTGTCGCGCCCGTACCGGGGACCGGCAACGGGATCGCAACCCTCGGTGTTGCGCCCGCACCGCGCTCAGCCAGTGAGCAGGAACCGGTCTCCACATGGGATCCGAACCCTCGGCGGGAGCGCTGCCACGCTCCCAAGCGGCGCACTCTCCAGTGCGCCACCGGGCCGGCCCTGGAAATTCAAATTTAATTGTGCATCCTGTATTTCTGTTTGGTAAATGTGGCAACCTTACTGGTACACAATCATATTTCCTTTGGAGAAACTGATCCACCTCCACCTCCATATTGTCTAGAGGTGGCTGACTTCCACCTCAATTTTAGGGAAGGATTGCCCAAGACCAGTCAATCAGATCACTGTATCCCTCTGGTCAGTGACTGGCTCAGAGCTAGTTCCCTAACCCAAGCTGGGCCAGGACTTTCTCTTTGCCCTGGTTTGATAATCTGCTTAAGCTATAATAATGGAGCAACTTGTGGCCATTCTGTCACCAAAAGAGAAGAATTTTGGAATGAAATTAAAAGAAAACAAACAAACAACAACAACAACAACAAAAAAGAAAAACCAGAGCTGAGAGAAGGGGAGAAACTGATTCCTGAAGTCCGTGGACCCTGTTGTGCCCAACAAAGGCTCAATACCTGGACTTTTTAGTTATGGGAGTCAATAGATTTCTTTTTAAAATTCAAACTCAGCCAGTTTGGATTGGATTTCTGAAATCTGCAACTTTAAAAGGCCTAACTAACACAAAAATTGGCTTCAGGTATAGAGAGCTACAAATGTCAGATCTTAGAATATGGAACTACTGACGGGCTGACTGGTTAGTTCAGTTGGTTAGAGCATGGTGTTGATAACACCAAGGTCCAAGGCTCAATCCCTGTACAGGCCAGCTGCCAAAAAAAGAAAAGAATATGGAACTGGCTGTGCAAAGAGGAAGTGGAGATACTGAGGACTATCTTAATTTTGCTGGGAAATTGGCAATCCTGCTCTGGTATAACAAAGTGTTTCACACTGTTAGTTTTGAGAACTCAGACCACGTGCCTGTAGAGTGGAGGAACTTTTGGTAACTCAGCAGAAATATCTTAGAAAGTTGATGTACATTGACACATATTGTGGCCTTTGATAAGGTGCTACAGAAAACCAGCATGTTTTGGTCAAAAGCAGAGGAAGAAGAAAATACAGCTTAGCTCACACTCTCCCAAGTGAGCTAACCGGCCATCCCTATAAAGGGATCCAAACCCGTGGCCTTGGTGTTATCAGCTCCACACTATCCCAAGTGAGCCACAGGCCAGCCCTGAAAGAATCTTTTTGACTATAACCAAGAAGCTATACTTGTCAAGAGTCAGATAATCTTGAACTCTGCAGGACAGAAAAAGTGAAATTCTTTGGCTCATGCTAAAATTTCTCTATGCAAGAGCACAGAGACAACTGTGGTGTTGGTTGTAAAACTGTGTGCATTTGACAAAATTCATAGAATGGTCCAACTCAATAAACCTGGCTAAAAAAAAAAAAAAAAGAAAAAACCTACTAATACCAAATGCTGACAAGGATGAGGAACAACTGGAATTTTCACACTTAAAAAAAAAAAGGCAAAAACAAAATATACAAATAAAACAATTTGGTATAATGGCATCTAAAAAATACATCCCTGTTGAAAAGAATATTTAGGGGGAAGAATATATCTTAATAATCCTTGGCCAATATCAGAAAAAAGAAAAATTTAAATGGGCCAGTGAGATAAAAGTTGCAGAGAAGAGAGATTCTGTAGTTCATGAGTGGATTTATCCAAGGATAAAATGTACAAGTAAGCAAGATGTCTGTTAAAATTTAACTGGACTTCCAAGGAGAAAGCTAAACCCACCTTACATTTAGCAAACATTTGGTGTGTTAATACCCCAAAACCATTCAGATTCTAAAAGCAGAGCCACTAGTGATGGAAAGACCAGTTCTCACCTTGCTTCCCATAGTCCTCCAGGCCTGCAGCCTTGAAATCCACACTGTGAATTTTGCACAGGACTCTGTTCATGGCAGTGTATATGGCTTGCCTCCGGCTGGGCTCTATGCCTGGCAGAGAGGGGTCTTTGTAGATGAGGCCTGGGCAGTACTCCATCAAATAGAAGGGGGTGCCGATGACACTGGGAGGTATACAGACAGGGTGTTCTAGGGGTGCAACTCATAATGTGGTGGGCTGTTCATCACAGCACTGCTCTTTCTGTTTCAGTGTAGTCTGAATGCTGGTGAAGAGTTCAGACCCAGAGTACTGGATGTACATAAGTGCAGGGCATTAGAAGAACCCCTACTCCTCTCTCTCTCTCTCTCTCTCTCTCTCTCTCTCACACACACACACACACACACACACACACACACACACACACACACACACACACACACACACACACACACACATCCTGTCTATAATTCTTTGCCAGCATGCCTTTCTGGGTGTACATAAGTGCAGGGCATTAGAAGAACCCCTACTCCTCTCTCTCTCTCTCTCTCTCTCTCTCTCTCTCTCACACACACACACACACACACACACACACACACACACACACACACACACACACACACACACACACACACACACATCCTGTCTATACTTCTTTGCCAGCATGCCTTTCTGGGTGTACATAAGTGCAGGGCATTAGAAGAACCCCTCCTCCTCCTCCTCCTCTCTCTCTCTCTCTCTCTCTCTCACACACACACACACACACACACACACACACACACACACACACACACACACACACAAAACCTGTCTATACTTTGCCAGCATGCCTCTTTTTTTCCCTTTGGTCCATTTACAAAAGCCATTGGAATAGGTTTAAGTGTTGTCACGTAGAAAGCAGCATGGTTGAAAGAGGAGCTTCAGAGTCATACAGAACCAGGTTTAAATCCCACCTCTGCACTTTACTAGCAGGGTGACCCTGAGAGACTTACTTACTAAACTTCTCTGAGCTTTGGTTTTTTTAAAATCTGTAAACCATACCTACTTCAAAAGGTAGATATAAGAATTAAGGGAGCAAATATATACAGTGTCTGGCATGGTGTCTGGTTCCGATGAGGGTTCAATAAATATCCCTTCTTGTCACTGATGTTATTTTTAGCATTACTGGTGGTATGAATGGCATATATACCACCTGACAGTATTAAGGTGACCTACTAATATGTCATTAACCCATCTTTTAGTCATTACTAGAAATTAGTTTACTACTCTAAGAAATTGTCTTGAAAATTCTACCATTATAAATGTTTGTCCTGACTTGAAAAACGGTTGTAAAAGACATGCTTAGGATAACTGGGGAATTTTTTTTTGTGTGTGGTAACTGGCCAGTATGGGGATCTGAACACTTGACAAGGCTGTGCTTTAGCCAACTGAGTCAACCAGCAAGCCCAACAGGGGAAATTTGAACATGGGCTAGATATTAAGTAATATCATTAAATTAATGTTAATTACCTTAGGTGTAATAATGTGCCGTGGTTATGAAAGAAAATGTTTTCATTCTTAAAAGATGCAGGCTATCTGCAACTTACTTCAAAAGGTTCAGCCAAAAAAGTTATTTTATATATATATTATCTACATACACATACAATGGTACTTCAAAAGTTCACAGTAAATAGAATTAAAAGATAATATGAGGGCTGGCTGGTTAGCTCAGTTGGTTAGAGCTCGGTGTTGTAACACCAAGGTCAAGTGTTCAGATCTCTATACTGGCCAACCGCCAGTAAAAAAAAAAAAAAAAAAAAAAGCTGTTTAAAACAGTTTAGAAAGACCATGATAAAAATTAACAAAAATAAGCAACATGGAACCAGATGAATATATATTTTTGGAATATGGAAAAAAAGATATAAAAAGAAAAAAAGATTAAAAAAAGAAAACAAAAACAAGTTAAAAAAAAAAAAAGATATGTTTTATCAAGGGTTCAGATCCCCATACTGACCAGACACCAAAAATAAATAAATAAATAAATAAATAAATAAATAAATACAAAGATATGTTCTACCAATTCTCACAAAAGCAGGCATGTCTTTATCTTTCAGGATAACTTAAAGATCTGAGAACTTCTGGTCTATAAAGTCTCTTTCCTCTCTCACCCAAATTTAATTTATCTTTAACAAACTGGAATTAGAGTTAGTTTATGAGCTTTTCTCTCCTGTAGCTTGAATACGCAATGGCAAAAAATCTGAACTTTACCTTGTATCTTCACAGAGGTCAAGAACATTGGGGACAGGTACTCCAGTATTTGCAAGGGCTTTCATTATCCTGCCAGAATAAATAAAAATGGGGATAACTGCTGGCTGAACTGATGAAAAAAAATTTTTTAATTAGTACATGCATAAACTAAGATGGAATTCTAAAAAATATTCAATTGACCCAAAAGTAGATAAGAATGAAAAGCAGATGGGACAAGCAAAAAAGAAATGGTGAAATTATAGATTTAAATCAAACATATTAATAATGACATTAAATTTAATAGATTAAACATTCTAATTAAAAGAGAGAAATTATCAGATTGGATAGGAAAACACTATGAGAGACATGCTTTAAATATTAAAACATAGATAGGTTGAAAATGAAAGGATGGAAAAGGAAGTACTATGTAATTGGTAAGCATAAGAAAGCTGGTGTGGTTACTTTAATATCTGATGAAGTAAACTTCAAGACCACATATTACCAGAGACAAATAAGTGGGACATTTCAAAACAATAAAACAGTTAATTCATCAGAAAGATATTACAATGATAAATGCATATGCACCTAACAACAGAGCTTCAAAATACATGAAGTAAAAATGATCACAGTTAAAGATAGAAAAAGACAAACCACAATCATTGTTGAGATTTTAACACCTCTTTCGCAGTAATGATAGAACCAGACTAAGATAGATTTATCCAAATATATAGATCCAAACAACACTACCAATCAACTTGGCCTGATTGGCATTTCTAGAACACTCACTCAGCAGCTGCAGAATGCTCATTATTTTCAAGTGCACACAATACATTCACCAAGATTAATCATGTGCTGGTCCATAAAGTAAGACAATAAAAACTCAATAAATATTGAAATATTAGACTATTTCTCAGACCTCGATAGAATTAAACTAGAAATCATTAATATATGATATCTAGAAAGACGAATATTTGGAAATTATTTCTGTAAGATAGATCCCCATAATTAGAATTATTAGGTCTAAAAGTATGACTATTCTGGGCCGGCCCGTGGCTCACTCGGGAGAGTGCGGTGCTGATAACACCAAGGCCCCGGATTCGGATCCCACATAGGGA